GACTAGCCTTGAACTGGCAATCCTCCTTGCTTCAGCTTCCTAAATGCCAAGATTACAAGCATATAACACGTTGTTCAGTCTAAGGAGGTTTTGGCATAAATAATTGTAGAGGAGAGTTAAAAGTCACAGAGAGAAAATGCAGAAGTCCTGGGGACATATAAGATTAAGAGAAGTTCTAACTAGGGAAATATGAGGTAAGATGCCTTTGATACCCAAAAGGAAGGAGCATGTGGGTGGAGGTGACAGGGAGTGTGGGTTCGAAGTAGGATGGTGATTTTGCTAACACAGAGTGAGGTAGCATGCTGAGACCCAGGCTACATGCCTGTGTCTATGAATAGTGACATGATTAAGCACTCCCACATGTCAGGTACTAGGCTAAGTGCTTGAGATGGCTTTTATGTTAACCCTCACATGATCTCTCTGAGAAAAATATCCAATTATTGTCTTCATTTTACATATAGGAAAATGGAGGCATGGAGAGGCCAAGGTGACTTACTTACTTAGTGGGTAAAGCTGAGCTGGGTGTAGTGGCTCACCAGTACTCAAGATGCTGAGGCGGGAGGATCGTAGGTTCAAAATCAGCCTGGGCTACATAGTGAGACATAGTTTATTTTCTATTGCTGTGATAAAACACACTTATCAAAACTAACTCTGGGAGGAAAGGGTTTATTTAGCTTACAGGTCGTAATCACAGTTCATCCTTGAGGGAAGCTGGAGCAGGAACACAGGCAGAAAATTGGAGGCAGAAAATGAAGCACAGATCATAGAGGAACACTGTTTACTGGGTTGTTCCTCTGGCCTGTGGTCAGTCTGCTTTTTTATACAACCTAGGACCACCTGCCCAGGGGTGGCATCACCCACAATAGGATGGGCCCTCCCACATCACTCAACAGTCAAGAAAATGCCTCAAGGACAGGCCAATTTGATAGAGAAAATGCCTTAATTGAGGTTCCCTCTTCCCAGGAGTGTCAAGTTGATAACTGAAGCTCTCCAGCACAATTGACCTCTTATCAACTTCACATACAAACATAAACCATAAAACTTTCCCATTTCTTAACCCAAGATATCGTGATAATGTTAATATTGCAATATAAAACATAGTGCAACTAAAAAAACCCCACAGTCTTTAAAAACTTCAAATACCTTAAAAGTTCAAAGTCTCTTTAAAATTTTCCTTAATTGTGAACTCCTGTAAAATCCAAAAAAAGTTACATACTCTCTTGTTTCAAGAGGGAGGAACCAGGGCACACTTAAGCAAAACCAAAGTCTAGCAGCACAGCTCAGTGTCTGACATCTGGGATTTGCTCAGGATCTACTGGGCTCCAAAGGGCTCAGGCAGTACCCCTCCTCTGCCATCCACAGCACACACAGCTTGTCTTATATGTTCAGGCCAGCTCCAGTGCACACCTGCTACTGCCCTTGATTGTTGTCCCATGGTCCTGGCATCTTCATTATGTTGGGGTCTCTACTGCATCTCTACCAATGGTCTCTCCTGGCTTCTCAAGCTGTCAAGCCTCCACTTTTCTCCATGACCCCTTCAATTCTGCAGCTTTTGTGTTGCCAAAACTGGTACCATGTGGGAGACTCATATGTTACCAATTTCTGCTTCTAACTTGAGATGCAGCCTTGCCCTCTTCTGTGTGCTGACCCTGTGGAAATAGTTACCAGAAGATTTCATCTCAATGATGCTTGTCCCTTGTTAATTACAGCTGATTTTTTTCAGCCACAGCTGACCAGTAGCCATTGCCCCAGTAAAGCACAAAAGGTTTCACTTCCAAAGATTCTTAATTCAAAATATTACACCAGCACCTCAGAGAGAGAGTTTTTAGGGACTCTAAAACTCTGCTCTGAAGCTTCACAAGCCAGGCCTCCATTGTTTACATCTCTTTCAGCATTATCTTCCAAGCTCCCACAGAGTAGTTCATTAAGCTCTAGGCACTCAATGACTTTTCTATCTCAAAGTTCCAAATTCTCCACAGTCCTCCCCAAAACAACATGGTAAGATCCTTCATAGCAATACACCATGTTCCTGGTATCCTAGTTACTTTCTATTGCTGTGATAAAACACTCTGACCAAAACCAACTTGGGGAAGAAAGGGTTTATTTTAGCTTACAATACAGACCTTTATAGAAGGAAGTCAGAGTGGGAACCCAGGGCTGGAACCTGGAGGCAGGAACTGAAGCAGAGACCATGGAGGTATGCTGCTTAGTGGCTCTCTCCTCTGGCCTGTGCTCAGCCTGCTTTCTTACATAATACAAGACAACCTGCCTTGTGGGGGGACAGTGGTACCACCCACAGTGGGTTGGGCCCTCCACATCATTCAACAATCAAGAAAATGCCTCACAAACATGTCACGTTTGATAGAGAAAATTCCCTAATTGAGGTTCCTTCTTCCCAGCTGACAACTGAAGCTACTCCACACACACACACACACACACACACACACACACACACACACACACTAAACTACTCCCCACACACACACACACACACACACACACACACACACACACACACACACAAGGCAAAGTCAGGATTTAAAAAGCCTGGCTCTAAAATCTAAATTTGTTATTACTATACTTTTCTTCCTTGAAAAAAGGGATTTGGCACAAGAATATTTGAAGGGACAGCACCTGTCCATTCCAAAGCTCTGGTTGAGATCTCCTAAAGATACTTAAGACCAGAAAGACATGGCTTAGTGATTAAGAGTGGGTACTGCTCTTGCAGAGGACCAGAATTTGGTTCCAAGCACCCATGTCTGGTGGCCCTCAACCACCTGTAACTCCAGCTCCAGGGGATCCAATCCCCTCTTCTGGCCTCAGGCAACTGCACTTACCTGCATATACCCCCACACAGACACACATACACACACATAATTGAAAATAAATATTTAAGAGGTAGGTAGATCTCTATGAGTTTGGGATACATAGTGAGACTCTGTTTAACAACAACAAAAAAAATCTCAAAAGAAAAAAATATCACAGAGTCTGCTTGGGTTTACATACAAATCTCCGCCATCAGCATGTAGTAACTTAGAATACATGATTTAACATCACTTTTGCTTTTTAGAACTGCTCTAATGAAGCTAATCAAGATTTCCAGTAAAGCATCCATATCCAGAATCACATTCTGCCATTGCTGTGCTTACAACCCAGTGACCTCAAAACTCAGAGTAAGTAGTGATCATCACAGTGTCCTACCAGGCCTCCACTGTCTGGTCTTTGACCTCATCTGCTGTTTCTGTCTTCTTCCCTTACTCTGCCCCAGCCACACACTGTTCCTCTTACTGTGCCTTGAACATACAGGAAGCTTCTCTTCACCTAGAACACATTCCTCTAGATACCTTAGCTCCCCAGATCCTTGATCAGATGTCTCAAGGAAGTCCCTCATTGCATTCTCCATTTTTTTTTGTCTACTGTTCTAGTTATCTGTTGCTGCATAACAAGTCACCCCAAATGGTGGATGAAAACATCAGCAATCATCTTAACCTCTGAGGCCTCCAAGGGTAAGGAATTCTCTCAGGCAGAAAGTTCTAGATTTAGGATCCCTCATACAATTGCAGTCAGATGGTGGCTAGCATACATCATTGCTGGACCTGGCTGTGTGCCATCTCACAGCCCTTCTAAATGGCCTCTCAGGGATGAAGAGAAGGCTCAGCAGTTAAGAGTACTGGCTAGTCTTGCAGAGGACCTGGGTTTAGTTCCCAGCACCCACATGGCAGCTAACAACTGTCTGTAACTCCAGTTCCAGAGGATCCAATGCCCTCTTCTGGCCTCTGTGGACATTGCATGACACAGGTGCATTTACATACATACAGGCAGTACACTCATGCACATAAAATAAAAATCAAAACAAGTACTATATGGCCTCTCTTCCTGAGTATGAACTTGCTCAGAGCATGCTGGCCTCAGGCAGAAGGCTGAAGGTGAGTATTCCCATAGGCAAAGTAACAGCTGTGCTGTCTTCCTGACTCACCTTGGACTTCACAGAACATAACTTCTACATATTCTCCTTGATTGAGTGGTCACAAACCCCCCTTTGTTTCAAGGAGAGAGGGCATAGACACAACTCAAAGTTGAAGAGGTGTTGTGATGGTTAGCTCAGTCAACTTGACACAGCCTAGAATTTCCTGGGAAGAGCATCTCAATGAGGAATTGTCTAGATCAAGTCAAGCTGTGGCATGTCTGGGGCAAGGGGCAGGGAGTTGTCTTAATTACAATAATTGATGTAGGAAGTTCCAGCCACTGTGGGGGGCACCATTCTCTAGGTAGTTGGGTGGGGGGGTGAGATCCTGGACTATCCAAGTGTAGAGCAAGAGCTGAACGTGTATAAGCATGCCTCCATTCTCTCTCTGCTCTTGACTGCATCTGTGACTAGTTGTTTCAAATTTCTGCCTTGACCTCCCTACAGCAATGGACTATAACCTGGAATTGTAAGCCAAATAAACCCTTTCACCCTTAAAGTTGTTTGTCAGGGTATTTTATCACCGCAACTGAAATGAAACCATGGCAGGTATCAAAGTTGCATTGTAACAAGAGCCTGAAAGGTGGAATTAGTTACTACCATGTATGACAAAAGCAACTTCTGTACCTACTGTGCTTTCTCTGGCCCACTCATCAGCACTTGTGCACACCTGTTGGCTTTGGAGTTTTCTGTCTTCTATCTTCTGCATTCAAATGTTTTGTTCCCTGCAGGGACATGGCGTCCTGACCTCCGCCTCCCCCTTGGGTATCTGTGGTATCTCCTGGAATTGTTTATCACAAGGACTTCCTCCTGATTCTGAGAAAAGTACACCCTGACCCAAAACTAGCCTTACAGTCAGGTGATCAGGGGAATGCCCAATTATCATGTGTCCTGACTCCACCTCCTTTACTGAAAAGGTATTTAAACCCTTGTCTCAAACACTAAAGAGAGTCCTTCTTCCCACTCCATGATGGTGTGATTGTTAGTTCAATCCTGACACCCTCTGCCCAGAATACTCGGAGCTTGACGTGCTGGCGCGGCAAGTGGAGGTCCCACCGAGATCTGAGGAAAGGAGGTAAGCGGACAGGGTCGCCCTTGGCCGGCAAGGACGTATTGGGGATAATACATAAGAATATCTGTAAACATGGGAAATGTACAAAGTAAACATGAACTGCATCATCAGATTAAAAGAGTTTTGGAGGAACAAGGAACAGCTGTTAAAAGCAAAACTATTGAACAGTTTGTTCGCACCATCTCTGAAGCCAGTCCTTGGTTTTTGACTGGGGGAGGCTTAAATTTACTTGATTGGGAACAGGTTAGGAGGGACTGCCAGAAAAAATTAGAAAAGGAGGGTAGCGAGCACTTCCAGATTGCTATGTTTTCCTTGTGGTGTCTGGTTCGCGACGCATTGCTTTCGGACAAAGTGAAAGTAAGAACAGAACTTAAGCTATGCCTATTATTAAACAATTGGCTTATGAAAACGCAAACCAGTACTGCAAAGAAGTACTTAGAGCCCAGAGGCACAAAAGCCTAAATGATTACATCAGATTGTGTAAAGATGTGGATGTCGAGCTCCCCTTAGTGCTTGCTTAAAACATCTTCCCTCTTTGAAAGGGGAGGATTCAGACACAGGGACTGAGGGAGAATCTAGCGAGGATGAAGAACAAAAGTTATGTCAGGAGATTTGTCCCCTGTTGCATAATGATAAAGAAAGGGCACCGGGGCTCTATCCTAGATGCAAAAAAGGAACACATTGGCCCAATAACTGTTGCTCTAAATTTGATAACATGGGCAATCCTTTATCACCATCTAACAATCAGGGAAACGGGCGGAGGGCCCCGCTCCAGGGCCCGAGAACCTCAGTGTATGGAGCAATGACACCTGCCAGAAAGACTCATGGCAGCAATTTAGTTGCCCCTGTGGTGGAAGTTCCTAATCCTCAACAAGGTCAGGTACTCGGACAACATGACCCTCTCCATTTCAAAGATCTCAAAGCCTTAAAGGAGGCTATCTCCGCTTATGGGGTACAAGCAGCTTTCACAATGACCATGGTAGAGTCCTACCAGACACAATACTTAACACCCAGTGATTGGCAGCAGCTGTGTAGAGCAGTATTGTCAGGAGGTGATTATCTTTTATGGAGAGGAGAGTTCCAAGAGCAGGCTCTACAGTGGCCTGCCTTAATGCTCAGGCCGGATTGGCTCAAAGAGATCTAGACATGCTAACAGGAGCAGGAGCTTATGTAGGGGTGGGGGCCCAAATATTATACGATCCAGCTGTATACGCTCAAGTGGCAGCTTGTGCTGTAAAGGCCTGGAAGAGCTTGCAACTAATACTAATCCCCCAATTTCTCACTAACAATAGATACATGAAAAGATCTAGAGGAAATGGTGGATTCAGCAGTATGGGGCCAGGAGTGTTTCGGGTTGCTTCCATGTCAAGTAGACCTACTTTAGAGTTAAATATAGAAGGAAAAAATTTTATTGATATATTGGACACAGAAGCTGATGTGTCAGTAATGTCCCTTGACTCTTGGCCTGCATCCTGGGCCTTGGAGCAGGGAAGGGCACAACTCCAAGGTATTGGCTGTGCACTACCGAGCAAAAGCCTTAAAATTTTAAAATGGAAGGATGCCGAGGGCAATAAAGGATACTTTCAACCCTATGTTTTACAGGGACTCCCTGTAAACGTATGGGGCAGGGATTTATTAAATGAAATGGGAGTAATTCTTACCACACAAAGTCAGGCTAAAAAGGAAAACAACCCAGAGTATAAGATAATGAGAAATCTTGGTTGGAGTAAAGATTGTGGACTTGGAATAAATGAACAGGGGAGAGCTAACCCTGTATCTCCAGAGGAGCAGATTGTTAGATATCCTGGAGATCAATCAGATTTGGGCCTTTTTTAATACAGGTCACTGTTCCTCCACCTACATCTATTCCCATTCAATGGAAATCTAATTATCCTGTTTGGGTTGAACAGTGGCCCTTATCCAAAGAAAAATTGCAGGCAGCACATGCCCTAGTGGAGGAACAGCAGCTTGCTGGACATGTTGTTCCTTCCACCTCCCCATGGAACACACCTATATTTGTTATAAAAAAGAAGTCAGGAAAATGGAGATTATTACAAGACCTGAGAGCCATTAATGCCACTATGCAGCCAATGGGTCCATTACAGCAGGGTTTGCCCTCTCCAGTCAGGATTCCTAAAAATTGACATCTCATAGTAATAGATCTAAAAGATTGCTTCTTTACTATTCCATTACATCCGAATGACCGTTGTCGATTTGCCTTTAGCATTCCTTCTATTAATTTCATGGAACCTGCCTTAAGATTTCAATGGGTGGTCCTCCCCCAGGGCATGGCTAATAGTCCAACTATCTGCCAATCCTATGTTGCTGTAGCCCTGGACCCTGTTAGAAGAAAATTCCCTGATATGTATATTGTACATTATATGGATGATATTCTTCTTGCAGCAGAAACTCCTACTAAACTTTATGAGGGATTCGGACATCTACAGGTAGCTCTACAAAAGGCAGGATTGCATATAGCCCCTGATAAGGTTCAGACAATGCCACCTTATAATTATTTAGGACATGTAATTAACAGTTCTGGCATTAGGCCTCAAAAATTACAACTCAGTGTCTCCTCATTGCATACTCTCAATGACTGGCAAAATTTTTGGGGTGATTTGCAATGGATTAGACTATAATTTGTAGGGAACATAATTAAGATTACAAAATTATTAATTTGGTTAAAATTTACCATTTCATATGGATAGGCAATAATGTTTAAAAATCACATAAAAGTCTTAATGGTGTTTTGACTAAATTGTGCTTGATTTGTAGTCTAAAACCTCTTAGTGATTATCTGGTGTCTCTCATGAAAAACTGTATCTTTGAAATTATAAACCTAAATAAGACCAAGTAGCTCATCTCATAGAAGGATTAGATGAATGGAGTATATTTTCAGCCTCTAATTTTTTTAATTGTGAATAAAACAGGACAAACAGCAATGGAATGCCATCATTGGTATAAACGCCCTAAATTGGGGGACGTATGATGGAAAGATCCCCTCTCTGGGACTCAGGCTAGACTGGCTCATGGAAACCCGCTACACCATTGTTAGCGTGGGTGAGGGGAGCTGTTTGTGTTTTTCCCCCAGGTGCTGATAAACCTATCTGGATTCCTGAAAGATATTGTCAAACGATCAACCCCCTGGAAGACCATGGAACATCTCAACAAAATAACAAAGGTGAAGATCCTCATCCTTCTGACACAGACATGGAGCATACAGGGTAATGTAACTGTTTGAAGTCTAGTAAAAAATCCTCCCATATTAATGGCAGTTGGATTGCAAAGTTCATTATTTCCATCCCTACATGTCACTAACTATACGCTAGGACGGCCCGCTAGCAATGTCTGAATTCAACAACAATCAATCAATACTACATTTTCCCTTGTAGAAACATTCACATTTCTTATGATGAAAATGGAAGTCTTTGGTTGATCAACGCCAGCATTGGAGATTTTATAATGAATCAGGACCTTTTATAGGTCTAAAAGATATTTTATACCCTATACGCCATAATAGAGTTCAAAATTTAACCAGAGATGGTATACTCCCTGCTTCTCGCTGCTGACCAAGCAATACAAACTATAATCTACCTAAGGTGCTATTGTGGGGAGACTGTATCTTTAATGATGGAGAACTTCTCATAAGAGACAATAACACAACCCAGATGTGATGGTTTTGGGCCAAAACCTTGCTTTAAAAACTCTACTAACAGTAAGTGTAACTATTCTTATAGGGAACCTAACCAACTTGTTGCACCCACGTTTGCTGGAATCTATTATTGTGGTCCTTTTGCATGCCTTGATGCTACTCCTTTTGATACTTCAGTAAAGTTCTATTACAAATGACACTGCAATATGGAATAATTCTGTTGTTAATACAACAGAAACAAACAAACAAAAAAATACTTATTAAATCCTACACCTGTGTCCTCTCCCCCTTCTTCTTTGTATTATGGAATATAACTACTAACACAACTTCGGAAGAGGTTCTTAATTGTTTTTACAGTAATTGTGTCCCGAGCAACTGCTGGAATTCCTCCTTCACTTCTGCGCTGGTTGTGAGGATCCCTACACTTCTTCCTATGTCTGTGAATGTATCAGAAGATCGAGTGGAACTGACACTGTATAGAAGCAAGAGAGATTTTAGAATAACAGCAGCTATCATCATTAGCATAGCCATCGCTTCTACTGCTACCTTCGCTGCTGGCATTGCCTGTCTCAGACTGCGGTTACAGCTTCCACGGTTGATACCTTGTCAGGAAAAGTTAGTGAAGCCCTGCAAACTCAGAACTCAATCAATGCACACATACAATTTGGACTAATGAACTTAAATCAACAAACTGCCTTGTTACAAGAACAAGTTGATGCCCTTTGGGCTATGTAACAGCTAACATGCTCTCATTTCTTTCATCATATTTGTGTTACCCATTACAATGTACAAAATGCCACCAATACTGTAAAACAATTGAATGCCTTTCTTACCTTTGCAAATTTTACTAAGGTTCTTACTTAACAAATTGTATCCATTATTGAAACCAGGGTCCCTGCCATATCAGCAGAAAGATGATGGAGTACCATGGTAAGAACTGGAGGATGGACACAGAGGTGGACAGGCTCCTTATCACTGACTGTCAATTTCATACTCATTATGATCTTTGTGTTTTTGGGTCTTGTGTAGAAAGCTCAGAGGAATTTAATCCCGACAAACTGTTACCCCACAAGTCCTTTTAAGTTTTCACACAACCATACAGATGTCCCACAGGTGTGGCCTCAGATGCTACACAAAAGATGAAGGTATTCTCAATGACGGGCAACTTTCTGTGAGAGGGCTCCCGCCTAAGACAGGGAAGAGGTCTCCCAGTGACGGGTAAGGGTGACCCCTCCGGAACGACCTAAGACAGAGTTACCTTCCTTAAAAAAAAAAAAAAAAGGGGGTGAGATGCAGGGACATGGCGTCCTGACGTCCGCCTCCCCCTTATAAGAGCTTGGGTATCTGTGGTATCTCCTGGAATTGTTTATCACAAGGACTTCCTCCTGATTCTGAGAAAAGTACACCCTGACCCAAAACTAGCCTTACAGTCAGGTGATCAGGGGAATGCCCAATTATCATGTGTCCTGACTCCACCTCCTTTACTGAAAAGTTATTTAAATCCTTGTTTCAAACACTAAAGAGAGTCCTCCCACTCCATGATGGTGTGATTGTTAGTTCAATCCTGACGCCCTCTGCCCAGAATACTCGGAGCTTGACGTGCTGGCACGGCAGTTCCCTGCGCTTCCTCAATGCCATTCACAAATCCTGGCATATGGTGATATTAATGTATACTTACTGAATGAATGAACTCTTGACTTTTCACCCTAATCATAGGCCTACCATTGGTCCCTAAGTTAGATACAAATATAACCATTTTATAGCTGAAGGAAATGGGGCCCAAGAAGATTTGTAAGTACCCAGGATTCTCAGCTGCAAAGTAGAAGATCCAAGATTGACAGGAGTGTCTAGCTCCTTCCACCCTTTCAGATTGCAACTTGAAGGACTCCAGTCCACCTACCACTTCCCCTCCTGCATGCTGCCCCAAACCACTAGCAGGCCAAATTCAATTTTTCCTGTTGGTTGCACTCAAGCTGAGAGCAAAGCAATTGCACTTTAAATCCCTTATAACAGATATTTCAGGCTGTGTTCAGGGGTAAGCATCACACTTGACGTTTAGATCTTATTGCTGGTTTGCTGTGAAAAGGCAATTAAATGAAAGGGTAGGTGGCTTTTTAAATGGCCAACTCAAATTTCTATTTTTTTTTTTTTTGGCCTTGCTCTCTTTGTAGACATTTTACCAATATTTATCACTTTCCCTTAGGAAAACCCCAGACCTGTGATATTTGAAATAATAAATCCCCTCCATTGGCCCTTTAAAGGCCTTGGTTAAAACAGCCCTATTTTCACTCACAGCTCCTCATTTCCAAGGCCCGGACACATTTATTTCCATATCCCTCGCTGTCTATCTAAGGAGCATCTCACATTATAGTGTTTGAAGGCTAAAGACTTCAAAGCAGATTCTTTACCATTTTTTTTTAATCTTGAGAAGTATTCAATATTTGTGTAATTAAAGTGAAGTCTTCCTAGAGGAAATGACGACTCAAATAATCTTAAATGTGTCTCCAAGAAAGAGACTGTCAAAGTGACATTTAGCTGTCGAGTCACATGCTCTAAGGCCTTTGCCTCTCCCTCTGATTTCTTGTAATCTTTGAAGGTTATGTCATGGCTGACTTCAAATCACGTTTTAAATTATCATGGCCTCTTTCAGAGTGAGTTCTGAGAGTGAGGAAATCTCTCTTTTTCACTTGGATTTTTTTCTATTGCAGTGTTACCAAGGCTTTGAAACAACACAGGCTGAAAGGAAACACACTTTCCCTTGACCTTGGTTTTCCTGCTAGCTAACATCTTTTCTTTTCTTTTGTGCTAACAGTTTTTAAATAGCTAGCTCTTTAATACCTTCTGTCTCTGTTTTCTTCTTGGCTAAATTGTGTGGCAGAGAGGACCCATGCTCTCCAACCTAATTGGCAAATCTAAGGGAATTTGTCACGTTCTCTTTTTAATTGGCTCTTCCCTCTCCAGCCTTGACATCATGCTCCTCCTTCCCACCCTAGTTGGTGTTCTGGCATCTTACCTACATTGTCTTCCAAACAGCTGCACAGTTGGGACCATAATGTACACAGGACTTGCTGAGACTTTAAGGAAGAAGATTTAGCCAGAGGTAGTTGAAGTCACGGTTAGGTTAGGGTCTCAGGTCTGCTGGGAGAGCTCACAGCTTACTGCCCAGAATCTAGAGAAGCTTAGAAAACTTGTACTGGACTCTGACCAACCAGTCCATAGGTCCAATTCAGTGTTTAATGGGGATCTCTAAGCAATGAACATTTCTAGGTGTGAATTAATTGTTGGGCATTGTGTTAAGTACAGGGGCTACTAAGATATCTTTAGACATTCAACCTTTCCTTAAGTTGCTTACTGGGTAAATGGAGAGACAGAAAGATGAAAGGATACAAACAAAAGTATTAGAGAACAAACAATGGAGCTCATAGCATGAGTCACGACCATGTTTAATGAGCTGTTCTTTCAAGGATTCAACACGTGTTTGGTTCAGTACTATGTTGAAGGAGGAGGATGCTGGTTTTCACAACTAAGCATATGAATGAAGAAATAAGATGCTATTATGTAGTAGCTAAGAGCTATTGAGAACCTGGGGACTTTTAAAACCTTGTCATGCTCTGCCCTCCACACAACTTTTTACTTTGTGGTATTTTGCCCATTTCCTTATCTACACACCATTTTTTTCTTCATTTTTTAGCTTATTTAAATTTCACATCCTTCCATCCTCTTTTAACTATTTACTCCAATCCATTGATTCTTCCATTTAGAGTGAAGCAGATATCTCAGACTGTATACGAGGGTGTAGATATTTGCCAGGGAGTATTACAAAGGATAAGGAAATAGGCAAGATCTATATGATAAATAAAAACACAATATTTTGGCATCATAACAATCTCCAGTCACACATTTAAGAAAATCTAGACTCTGAAGAGATCTGTTTAAAGAAGAAGACACAAAGACTGTGGCAGGCAATTAAGAATACAGTGAATGGAGTTTTAACGCGTGGACTACAGTCAAATCTGTACTTGTCAAATTCGTAATCCTGAACACTTTTATTATTTAGAAAAGAAAGAGGATTTAGGATTCATCAGACCTGGGTTCAAATCTAAATGCTGCCACTGACTGACTGGTCTTAAGTACTAAGCCTCTCTCAGCCTATCTACTTATATAACCTGAAATAATGGTGGCTTAAAATATGTTCAAGACAGTATCTGGTATGAAATTGGTACTCAAGAAATACCAGATGCCTTTAAAGATTTATTTAAGAGGTGTAGTTTTTATTGTGACTTCAGAAAAAAAGAAAACCTAACATTTCAGTGTTCTTAATAATTCAAAAGCTTTGAAGTGATATAAATGTATCCTATCTGTTCCATCTAAGATAGTAATCTTGTTTACTTTGACTTGGTAAAAGAGTGCCAAGTTCCCAAGCATGGGCACATTCCTTTAATCCTGTACTTGGGAGGCAGAAGCAGATAGAACTCTGTGAGATCCATGGCTGCCTGGTTACATAGCAAGTTCCAGGCCAGCCAGAGCTACAGTGTGAGACCCTGTGTCAAAAAAAAAAAAAAAAAAAGAATATTATATATCGAAGTAAATTGACAATTTTTTAGTTAAACCATCAGACTTTATACCACTGGCTATGTGATAAGCAAGTTATTCACTAAAATAATATTGTTTCTATTTTGAGAATTGCCTCCTTAGAAACTATATATAGCATTCTTAACCTTCAACTGTGATTGGCAATCTTTTTT